TCCCTTTTCAGCAGGAAGTAGCTAAGAGAATATGCCATCCCCTTTTCCTTATGAATCAGGGTGAAATCTCTCTCAGGGAGGAGTGATAGGGAATGGCAAAGGACACACTGACAAAGGAGATTAATCAGAACTGGTTTTGACAAGCACTATGGCAATGGGATAATTAAAACAAACTTTCAAGGAATATTCAACCTGAATCCTTCTGATCATATGAAGATTTTTGAAAGTATTTCTTTGAGTTTATTTTGTTTAATTTGTTTTATTTGCTTGTGTATAAAGGATGCTCAACTAGATGATAACATAATTATGATAAAAACAAAAGGGGGGAAATATGGGAAGCCAATACTAAATATTTGTAATAAACTGAATGCTATTTAAATTTAAAAAAAGACAGAGGCCAAAAATATCCAAAAAATACATTCTGTCAATCCACTCCATCATATTTACCATATACTGTTCCTCCTCACCTAGAACATCCTGGATGTGATTTTTATTTTTATTTTGTTTTGGGGTGTTTTTTTTTGTTTTTTTGTTTTGTTTTGTTTTTTAGTGTTCTGTTTTGGGGTTTGTTGGGTTGTTGCTTTTTTTGGGGGGGGTGTTTGTTTGTTTGGTTGGTTGGTTGTTTTTGGCTTGGCGATTCATTGGAATGTCCCTTAAAACTCATACAAATGTTGACGATATCAAGCAGGGTTGAGGTAGTTGGCTCAGGTCAGAAGGCTATCCAAGCAAGGGGAGAGGGAACATACCATAGTCCCTAATGCAATTGTCTTTTATCAGAGCTACAGGACATAGACCTTGCCCCAGAGAAACTAAGGGTGGTGATTTGGGCCATACCTTCCTCCAGCCTTTCTCGAGTCTTTAATCAAAGTACAAATTTCCTCCCATCCCCCAGATATCCTATATTGCTTCAAATTAACCACCTGAGTGGGCTGAGGCAGTTCTAATGGTTCCCATTTAGTATGTTCAATCAACACTGGCCTCAGGAAAGACTTGCACACCCTCAGTTTTACAATATCTGGTAGAGGGAGTGTTCCCCAGTCAGACAAAATAGCCATATTTGATCTGAGTTATAGTAGGGTAGAGCCTCTGGATTTCAAAAGATAGAAAAGCCATTTGGAAAAGTAAAAAAAAAAAAGTAAAAAGAGTAAACCTTTGATGCCACAAAATCTAAGTTCAAATTCTGAATTAGATATTTCATTTTCTCAGTTACATAGGCAAATTGAGCCACTTTTGCATAGAGGCACAGTGGATTATAAATTCGAGGAATCATGCACACCTTCAGTGCACCATGATGCTATTTGATTACACTGAATGAGACATGCAGCTGAATTGGGAGACATTCTGTGTCCAGTTGGTTTGGCCAAGGGGTGTTACAATTAGCATGTTTCTTTTCTCAAAATTGCCAAGAGCAAGAAGAATGAACAAGCTAAAGTGTAAAGTCTATTTCAATTAAGGCAAGGTTTCTGATAAAGTACAAGTCGAAAAATATGAGCAAAGGCTGCCAAACACTGGGGAGACCAAACGGAGGAGCAGTGGGGAGGAAGAATAGGAGGGAAGCAGACAGAGAGGATCCTGTGACTCTGGGTGGTGGGATAGAGAGTGCTAGGCATGCTTACGGCCAGTGCCTCTTCCCCTACCTCCAGTCCTCCTACAAATAACTGGCGTAGGGAGATTCAGGTCCTTCAAAATACCTAATGTGAAGGGATGTGCACAGAGGCCGTACAAATATGCTAGACGATCAAAGGAAGAAGTCATGTGAAAAATAAATGGAAGATATAATGCTCAATCCAAATATGTTACTGCAGAAGAAACGAAAAATGATCACCCAGTTCCACATTTAAAGAAAAGTTAAAGATTGTAAAAACATAAGGAAACAATAGACTCTATGAAGCTGGAGCATACAGTGACCTTGGAAATGCTCAGGGAAGAGATGGTGGACAGCAGAAGGAGATGAATGTGACCTGCAGGGCTCAGGAGAGAAGGAAGTGGAAAATCAAGCAGTCAGGGCTTAAACCCAAAGAGCATAGCACCCAAGAGCAGTGTGTGGAACACAGAAGGGGCTGGGAGGCTGGAAACAACAAAGGCAAAATAACAAATGAAGCACATTTTTTAAAAAAATCAAAGCAATAATTATCTGTAGTTCATACATAAAGAGTCCTGGGGTGTCACAAGGAACCTGGTCACGTGGTGTATAACACGTTGGACTGCTAACCAAAAGGTCCGCAGTTCTAATCTATCATGTGTCCTCAGAGAGGAAGCTGAGGCAGTATTTTCCCATTAGGATTTACAGCTTCTGAAAGCCAACAGAGAGTCACTACAGGTCTGAACCAACTGCATGGCAATAGATTTTTGTTTTGGTTTGGTTTTCTTTTTGCTTTGTTTGGCTTGGTTTATTTTGGTTTGGCAGTTGTTATTGTGCATCACTGAGTCAGAAGCAACTCACAGCTGACCCTCCAGCGGTTTTCAGAGGCAGTAAATTGCATGGGAGGAGATTGCCCATCTTTATCCCATGGAGCAACTGGTGGATTTGAACACGTGCCTTTGGGAATACAGCGGAGCTTCTTACCACTATATTGGGCTGCTAAACAAATGATTGTTGATTTAAATCCACTAGCTGCCCTGTGGGCAAAAGATGTAGTCTGCTCCAGGTAAGACTTCTACCTTTGATTGAGGGTCACCCTGCATCTGAATTGACTCAAATTAGTGGGTCATTCTGTGCTAGGTAACCCTAGTTCATATATGTGTGCTTTCTGCATACGTATTTCTCATACATACATGAAATTCATATATCTAGAATTCCTAAAAAGAAAACCAAAATAATAAAAGATAACAAATATTAAGAATATAATTCCAGAATAAAGTTCTACACTCCTACACTGTAAGAATATATACTGGTTTCTCAGATGAGGGAAAGAACAGATTAGAAGTGATATATGATTGAGTATTATGGATAGCACAGGAATCCAGAATTAAGGTTGCATAGAGAAGTGTACTCGGGGTGGGGGGTGGGGGGAAGGGACGTGGGAATTCTATACTAATGAAGGATTTTTTTTTCTTAAAAAAAAAAGAATATATACTGGTTTCTGGTAGTACAGTTGTTATGGCTGATAACTGCAAGGTCAGCATTTCAAACCCACTACTCATTTCAGGAGAGAAAAATGTGACAGTCTGCTTCTGAAAGGATTTTCAGTCTTGGAAATCATATGGGAAATCTGAAATTTATTCACCAGCACTGAGCTTGGTTTTTATAAGATGTGAATGCTGATATTAAAAAAAGCATTCTCTATCCCAAGGAAAAAAAACTAATTTAGACTGTCAACACCAAAACATATCCTAGTACAGTTATTGAACTTCAAAGATAAAAGAAATAATACTTTAGGGCAAAAAGACCAAGGCTTTCACAATGGGAAAATTATCAAGTTGGTCTGAGATTTCTCTTCACCCTTAATCAGCGCTCAAAGGCAGTAGAATAACACATGCCAAACCTAATCTGTCCAGCTCTCTGTCACAGAGGTGGAAATGCCACAGGGGTGGAAATGCCACAGGGGTGGAAATGCTTTTCTTTAGGGAAAAGAAGGATAGTATTGCCCAGGGAGCTGGAGGACAGTCATAGGGCCTCTTACTACTCACAAAGATGCAGAGACCACAGTGGTGTAGAGGGAGCCAGCTGAGGCATTGTGGGAAGGGTAAGGTCTGTAGAGTCAGACTTGGGCTGATGAGCCTCACTCAGCTTCTCACTCTGCACCATCTTGAGTTACTCTACAACTGTTCACTTCCGTTTCCACATCTGCAAAATAACTCCTACCTCCACAGGTTACAGGAAATAACATACATATGATAGAAGGAGAATCAATGCCTTTGAGCTGTGGTGCTGGAGAAAAGTGTTGAAAATACCATGGACTGCTAGGACAACAAACAGGTTCAACTTGGAGAGGGTGAAGCCATGCTGCTCCTTGGAGACAAGAATTCTGAAGTTCCATCTGACATACTTTGGACATGTTGCAAGGAGTGACCAGTCCTTGGGAGGACTTGGACATCATGCTTGGGAAGATGGTGGGACTGCGCAAGATAAGGAGATCCTGGCTAAGATGGACTGACTCAGTAACTGGGGTAATGGGGGTAGATGAGTCAGAGATGATAAAGTTGGCTCAGGATAGAGCATGGCATATAGCACTATTGTACATAAAGTTGTTATTAGTTGCAAGAGACTCGAAGACACATAACAACATCATGACAAACTCAACTCAAACACACTGCTGCTGAGTCAGGTCCATCTCACGACTGACCCTCCAGCAGGCTTCTAAGCCTGTAAATCACAAGAAGAAATGGATTCTAGAAAATCCTATGGGACTATTCTACTCTGTTACGTTAGGTCACCATGAGTCAGAATCAACTTACTGGTACTCAACAGCAGTATTTCTGGAATGTTAGGGACTGAGTTGTTCCCCACAATTCAAGCCCTAAACCTGTGGATGTCATCCCATTGAGGAATAGGGTTCTTTGTTATGTTAATGAGGTCATGTCAATGTGGGTTGGATCCTAACCTTAATCTAAACTACAAAAAAAAAATAAATAAAATGAATATAAGTAAAAAGGTGAAGATGGGTATCATTTGAAGATTTTCAAGAAACTAAGAAACACTGGGGCTATAAGTTGGAAGAGAAAAACTATACTCCCAGAGCAGACAGAGAGAGCCCTCTGCTGGAGCCATCACCTGGAATTCAGACTTCTAACCTCTAAAAAGGGAGCTCTTGTGATCTTATAATAACAAGTTGTGCTGTCAATCCAATTATACATGGCTATTGACTCTACCAGCTGCTCTGCAGGAGAAAGACAATCTCCTCCCATGCAACTTACAGCCTCTAAAAACCTACTTTGCATCAACTATGACTTGGTTTTGACTCAACAGCATATAACAACACAACAACCTCCTAAAGTGTAAGAAAAGAACTTTCTGTTCTTTAAAGCCATCCACTTGAGGAACGAAGAACGGTTCTTACCGTGGCTGCTTGGGGAATCCTCCCTGACATGAGCTGGAAGAGCGTCTGCAGAGGGTCGTTGAGCGCCAGTGTGCTGGTGAAGCTGCAGAGAGAGGGGACATCAGTGGAAATGTTGAGGAGAGCTTCTCTTTCCCCACTTCCAAAAGACTATGCATGTCTCCCTTTGATATCAGCGGAAGACGAGCTCTTTGCTTTTCCTCGTGACTTCATCACAACCTCATTTGCTGAGAATTATCCGAATCCTCATCGCACCACATACTCCATTGAAGGTCTATTCCTGGGGGGATATTTCTGGGACTTTGGCGCCAATGTCTTGAATCCTGATGAGCAATACTTGTATGACTTTTTCCATCACAGCGCAAACTCATTATCTGAAAGGCCCTTGAGAGCACCAGAGGTTAACCTGGAAGCACTTCACAGTGACCCTCTATGTCCAGACACCCCTGTATTCCTGTTTCATAGTGTGCCTCCTCCTTCCCCTCCCCTCCATCACCACACCCCCCCCCCCCCGTTCTCCGTGTCAGTTTTCTAGCTCATCTCAGGCCTGAGTCTGCAGTGCTTTTACGTAAAAGCGCTAAGTAGACATTTTCCATAACCAAAGAGGCGTGGAACGGGGACCAGAAATTACTCTGCTGATGACAAACCGTGGGATATGCTTAACAAGGATATAATAAGCTCTACAGCTGATTTGAGATTTAAGCACACTCAGTAGGAGATATTTTTCACAATTCACTGGGCCCCATCAAAAATCAATGGCCCAAGGCAAAAATCTGTGGTAAGGAGATGTGTGCTACAACGCAGGGTTGTGGGATGTTCGCTTCCAAAACCTAGAGGAAAATCATCCCTCAAAACGCTATCTTATATTTAATAGCACCCTTGCTTTGGGAATTGAGAGCTCTTATCATAATAAGACTTCAGTGCTCCGCACCATCTCTATTTCTGAACATAATGAAGGGTGCAGCAGTGTTACTTACTAGTCCATAGGAAGACAGGCTTGAGTAACAAAGAGACTCAATCAAGGCCGCCATGAAAAGAAATAATGGCTTCCTAGGAGACGTGACAACCATAAGGCTTACAGCCTAGACTTAAAGTGGAAGCATCTTTTTTTTTAATTTAGGTTGTTTATTTTTCATTTCAATGAACATCTACAGAGATTTTGGGATTCCATTCATTCATTGGAAGCATCTTTTTATCCAATTGTTTGTCCAATAGGATTTATGGCCAAGTTTCCAATACTAGGTGGAGCCTGAAGTACTTACTAGAAGCCCTTTTCCAGCACCCCTGATGAACACACACTTCATTTCCCTTTGATCTTGATTCTTTTTTGTTCTGTATTGTTCCCCATATTCCAAACTGCTGGCTGTGGACCCTCATCTCAGTCCCTGGCCTAGGTATTGTATGCCTTCTCAGCCCTTAGATCTTTGTGAGATTTCTAACCAAGCACACTTCTCCAGGCTCCCTAAGTTTCTCTGACCCACATGGAGACTTACAGATCTGCTTCCCAGTCCTCTAATTCCCCTTCCTCCCATGGCTCACCGCTCTACTACCCATATTTCTACCTCTACAATCACATCCACACTGCAAGACGAATCAAGAGAGAATTACCTCAAATACCCTCAGTTAAAAGGATCTGCCAATGACACTTAAGTGATTACCTCTTTCCTGGCTAATGACATGCACTAGAAGAGCCCCTAAGAACATGGAAACAGCTCAAATGTCCAACCACAATCGAATGGATTGAGAAATTATGGTACATTCACATGATAGAATACTATGCAATAGGTAAGAGAAATTGTTTTGAAACTGAATGCTTAACTTGGGAGGGACTGTAGAGCATTATGCTAAATGAACTAATTTGATCCCATAAGGACAAATACTGAATAAGACTATTATTGTAGAAATACATAACTAGTAAAATGTGTATGAGGCTCTAGAGGGAGAGAGGGGACCAGAGGGGTGAGGATGACAGGGGAGAGGTAATCATAAAGTTGCAGAATCTGATGAGTGAAGGGAAGAAGGTTTTAAGGAAATGGGAAAGATTCAGTGTAAAAAATAATGTATATAAACTTTGTAAGTAAACCAGTATAAAATAAAAAATATTTTTAATAAAAAAGAGAGACTAAAGCATTGTATGTTTTTGTGTGCTGTCAAGTTGGAATCAACCCATGGCTGACCCTCCAGCAAGTTTTCAGAGGCAGTCAATCAGTCAACTGCATGGGAAGAAATTGTCCATCCTTCTCCCACAGAACAGCTAGTGGATTTGAACCAGGTTTGGGGATTTCAGGGCAGTTTCTTACAACTAAGCCATCAGAACTCCCTAAAACAATGTACAGACCTATTTTTAAAATGTTTTAAACTTCAATCCTGGAAAGAATTATTAAAATATTCAGTTCTATTTAGCAGGAGGAAGGACATGTAGAAGAGGATGGCTGCATTCATCTCAGAAAAGAGAAATTGAGATGGCTCTGCAATATGGGGTATCTGAGGGCTACTTTCACTTCTTCCCATTATCACCCCCACCTTTGTTAGGGACTTCTCCTGTGGGTACCTTTGCATAGGCCCTGACTCACCCACTCATGACCCAGCTGTAGGTTCTTGGGTCCATCTTGCTGGCCAGGAACAAAGCGTGGCCCCACAAGTGATTCTTCATGGCCCATTCCAAGGCTTCCTAGAAACCAAACACATCACACTCAAACCTAGATACTGACTGGCACAGTATTTCCCTCACGTTATTCCCTTCTCCAACTTTCACCTTGTCACAATTCATTATTTCATTGTTGTTGTTGCTGTTAGATGCCTTCAAGTCAACTATGACTTGTAGTGTCAACTCTATGAAAAATGGATGTGAACCTTATCCTATCCTGCTTCCCAATATCTGCTTTATTCAAGTCCATCATTACAGACCATCTTGTTGAGGGTCTTCCTCTCTTTAGCTAACTCTCTGCTTTTCTTATCATGCTCAGCCCCTCCTGACAACATGCCCATCCAAAGTATGTGAGAGAAAGGCCGTTCCTGGCAACAGGCCCACAGTATGTGAGAGGAAGTTCCACTATACTTGCCTCTGAGGAGCACCCTAGCTAGATGCTTGTATGATGTGTGTTATTTCATTAGCTTCCAATGAAATATGATTGTGACTAACCTTGCCACTTTAACAAAAATCAGAAAAAATTATTATGAACTTAAGGTGAGAAATAAAACCAAAGAAAACAGTTCCAGGGATTGACTCCTCAAGATATTGAATATACCGTGGACTGCTAAGAAAACGAACAGGTTCGTCCTGGAGAGGGTGAAGTCAGGCTGCTCCTTGGAGGCAAGGATTCTGAAGCTTTGTTTAACATACTTTGGACATGTTGTAAGGAGGGACCAGTCCTTGGAGAAGGACAACATGCTTGGGAGGGTGGAGGGACAGCACAAGAGAGGAAGATCCTCGAAGAGAGGGATTGATTCTGCCACTGGGATAATGGGGATAGATGTGTCGGAGGCAGTAAGAATGGCAAGGGATAGAGTAGGGTTTAGGGCTGTTGTACACAGTGTCTCAATGAGTCTGAGACTCATTGACTTGACGGCACATAACAACAACAACAATATTAAAAGAACAATTTCTTTTTTAATACCTGTAGCAGAAGTTGCTAGTTGTGCACCAAAATCTCTTGTTCTCCCACGTAAACACCTGAACTACATTTTCCTACCTGCCTTTCATGTAAGCAAGGCTAAATTGGAGGCAATGGAATGGAGTGGAAGTGATGCATGCTTCTTACAGGGAGAGCCCATCAAACTACCCACATGCTCCATCTACTGACTAGAATGGACACAAATGCAGAGTAAAAACGATCAGCATGATGGAAAACTACCCAGCACACGTACACATGATTTTAAAAAAACCAAACTATTTACATTTAATCTTATATTTGTTGTTGTTGGGTTGGTCCCCAGATCATTGACCATTCATGTAAAGGAACAAAGCAATTGTTTGCAGATGCCACCATCATGATTTATAGTGTTTTCCTTGGTTGATTTTCTAGATTTTTCGTCCTAGACCATTTTAATCTGAAAGCTCTTCTACAGCCTGTTCACATCATACCAACACGCAGCCTCTATTGATAAATAGGTGGTGGCTACATATGAGGCATCTTCTTGTCCTGTTGTTCTTGCTGTGTTGGAACTGACCCACAATTGAACCTGCAGTGAGTATTCAGAGACATCTCATGATGCAGGAGGAGCCTCTTTCTCCTGTGGAGCATCTGCTAGACTCAAACTATACATCTTTGAGTTGGTAGCACAATTCCTCATCGCTAAACCAACACACAGTGGCTAGGAATGAAACCCAAGTCTCCCACTAGGTAACCTGGGGCAATCTTTACTTCTACCGCTAAACCATTAATGTCTTCATGCCAAGGCAACATACAAGGAGCTCTGGTGATGTAGCTCACAGGCAATTGTGCCATTAACCCAAAGGCCATGCTTCTCTGGAGGTTCGAATCTACCAGTGGCTTCAAGGAAGAAAGATGAGTAATCTCCTGTGTTATTTACTGCCTCTGAAAATTCACCAGAGAGTCAGCTGTAACTCAGTTCTGATTCCACAGTACACAACAACAAAACAGGGCTTGGTTGAAATTGTTGTTGGCTGGAACCCTCCCCAACCCAGCACCATCTTCACAATCTCTGCTCTGCTTGGGCCCATGTTTGCAGCCACTGTATCAATCTATCTTATGGACGGTTTTTCTCTGTTCCACTGGCTCTCTACTTTATACTAAATGTGATGCCTTTCTCCAGGGATCCACTAATTTACTAAAATATCTACCTCCCCAAAAATATTGAGAACTTTTTTCAAGGCCTACCAGTCTCACACACTGCCAGAAATAAGATCCAGTCAAATATTAACAACATTATATGGTATCTTTATATTCCATCCCATTAATCACTCTGTGCAGTGTTCTGTTAATTTCCAGCTTACCTTTGGGTTAAGTATTGAAAATCAGGGTGAGGTTAAGTATTGAAAAGCAGGGTGATGGAGTGGTTAGAAATACAGTCTTTGCCCTCAGACCTCCTGGATATTGAGCTCTGTCTCTAACTAACCCTTACTAACTTTCTTTATCTGTGAATAAGTAAAGCAAGAATAGGATTTGCCTTACTTCAGAATAGAAACTTACAGGACACTTATGTAAAGAATAAGTAAGACGATACATGTAAAGTCTTGAGCAAGTATTTGGTAAGTAAAAAACATTTAACAAATATTCACATCTGTTGTCATTGCTGTTGTTATTGTCATCAATTTTTTTTCTCTTTCAAAATAGTTGGGGGAAAGCACAAGAAGAAAATATCTAGATGTTCAGAAAGAGAGAGATTGGGTACCTAGGATATGGAAAGTTTTATGAATGCCATTTATATTTGACTTTTTAATTATGTGACTATACTAAAATATTTTTAACCTCCTACCCCCAGGAAGATGGATTGACACAGTGACTGCAAGAATAGACTAACGTATATCAGAAACGGTGAAGAAGGGCAGGCTAGGGCACGGTTCAGAACTGTGGTTTATAGGTCACCATATATTGTAGTCAATCTGATAGCACCTAGCAACAATATGACTTTTGCAAAATGTGAGTTCAACTTCTAAATTAAATATCACTCCTTATTTGTTGAATTAAACCATTCAATATTGGCATGGCAGGCATATCTTAGATACGATCAGACTATCATTTGTAAATTACCTTCAGGATATATGCAAACTTCCTGGTATATTTATGAACAACCTTTTGAAACAGCATGCACTTTTCTAAACCTACTATAAAGCTACAGCAATCAAAACGTGCTATGATATTAGCGTAAAGGCTGACCATAAGTGGAATAAATGTCATAAAAACAGATAAATGGAATAGAATTGAGAGTCTGAAAACAAGGCCATGAATCTATGGTCAATTGATTTGAACACAAAGATGCCAAAATTATTCAATGGGGAAGGAATACTATATCCAAAAAATTATGCTAGGACACTAGGATAGCTGCATGTAAAAGAAGGAAGTTAGATCCTTACTTCACACAATACACAAAAATTAATTCAAAATGGATCAAAGACTCTTAAATAATTTAAGAGTTAAAAGGATAAAGAAAATATCAAGACAAAATTTCATGGCCTTGGGTTTGACAACAGCTTCTTGATATGATCCCCAAAACAAAAGCACCCAAAGAAAAAAGGTCATCAAAATTTAAAAAAAATTAAAAGATATAGTATTCAGAGCATATAGCACATTTGTATAACTCATCAAAATAAAGACAAATCAAACCCAGTGCCCTCAAGTAAATTTTGAGCCCAGCGACCCTCCAATGGATTTTCAAGGCTGTGAATCTCTTGGGGAAGAGATTATACATATTTCTCCTACAAAAGGGCTGGTGAATTTGAACCATTAACCTTTCACTTATCAACCCAACATATTACTCATTATGCCACTGGCAAATAGCCCAAATTCAAAAGGGACAGAAAACCTGAACAGATATTTCTCTAAGGAAGGTATATAAATGTCTGAGCCAATGTGCATGTAGTAATTATCACTAGTCATTAAAGAAATGTAAATCAAAACTACAATAAAAAAACAAGGTAATGATGGGTAAGGTCCAACGGTGATTGATTTTAAGAAACGTGATGTATGAAAATGATTATATGAAACACAGTATGAATTAATAATAGTGTGAAATGCAAAGTATGTAAACTTTGTAAGCAAACCAATAAAAACGAAAACAAAACAACAACCCTACAGTAAGGTATCAAATAAAAATGCCACAAATGCATGACTTCAGCAAACAGAAATTCATTTTCTCACAGTTTAAGAACCTAGAAGTCCCTAGCCCTGGGTGCTCTAGTGGAAGGCTCTGGAGAAATGTACTTGCTTCTTCTGATCTTCTGATCTTCTGCTCTTGAACAATTTTCATGTGACTTGGCATATCTCTTCCCCTCTCATTCCTTCCACTTGATTATTTAATACCTTCTATATTTTAAGAGAGATTAATCAAGACACATCCCACCCTAATCCTATCTAATTCATATATAGGCAACTCATTCCCAAATGGAACTATAGATGGAGGTTAAGATTAAGGGACACAATTCAATTCATAGCAAGACTCCAAAGATCTGGAAATAGATATTCAACAAAAACTCGTACACAAAAGTTCATGGTAGCTGTATTCACCACAGCCACAAGATGAAAACAACCTGAATGCTCAGCAACAGAATAATGGATAAATGCAATGGAATATTTACTCTGTCATAAAAAAGGAATGAAGTGCTGATACACACTACCACTTAAGTTAAGCATGAAATCATTATGCTAACTGAAAGAATCTAGTTACAGAAGCCACATTATATAATTCCATCATATGAACCCGTAAAAATGAGAAAATCCACACAGACAGAAAGATTAGTGGGTGCCATGATCTAGGTAGATAAGAATATGGAATGGCTGCTTAGTGGGTTGGGGTTTTAGTTGGAGTAAAGAATAGTTCTGAAACTAGGCAGTGTTGATGACTTCACATAAGAGTATCCTTAATGTTAGGGAGCTCTGGTGGCCTAGTGACAGGAAGCTGCACTGCAATTCCAGAGGTGTGCAGTTTGAATCCACTGAATGCTCTGCTGGATAAGGAGGGGTAGTCTCCTCCTGTACCAGTCAAATCTGATTTGGCAGTACATATACAAAAAAATAATACAATTTTTTTAAAAAAGAATATCCTTCATGTCACTGACTGTTACCATCTTAACTCACTAAATTCACTTCTGCTAATCTTTCTTAAAGAAATAATAAAAAGATCAGCCAAAGACTTAGAGCAAATGTTCAAATGACATGATTTATAATGGGTGACAAAATTGCAAATGGCCTAATATTCAACAATAGCAGATTTATTAAATAAAATATGATGCATTCACATAGTGAAATATTGTCCAGTTATTATTTTTAAGTGGTGTTTTAAAGGATGTTTAATGCCACAGGGATATTTTACTATATAATGTTAAGTGAGGAAAGGAGAAATTTTTAAAAAAATATATTTAATATATGTAATTCAATATGCACATAAAGATAAATGTGTGTTATTAGAAAGAAATGCTAATAGCAGATATCAAAATATCAACAGCACTCTGAAATAATTGCTGTAAGATAATCTTTCCATCTTAAACCAAAAATATCTCTGAAGTAGTCTTAAAACCAAGCTATAGTTTAGCTTAACTAGTAAAAAAATGTCTATCTTCATTCATATGACTAACAGACAGAAGAAGAAATGTTCAGAGTCACTGACAATGACAGAGATTCACATCAAACCACAGTGAGGTACCATCTTACCTCAGTACAATGGCAAAGTTTAATAGGACATCAAGCAGTCAGTGTTGGAGAGCAAGTGGGGCAACTGAAACTCTCATAGACTGTTGATGGGATTGTAAAATAATACAGCCACTCTGGAAGGCAGTTTGGTGTTTCCACAAAAACTGAACACAGAAATTTCATATGACCCAACTATTCTACAGCTACGAAGATACCCCAAGAAAATTAGAACTGAGCAACAAACAGATATTTTGTGCACCAAATTGTTCATAGTAACGTTTTTCACAATTCCAAGGACATGGAAACAGCCCAAATGTCCTATCACAATCAAATGGATTGAGAAATCGTGGTACATTCGCATGATTGAATACTACCCAGCACTCAGGAGCAATGATTTTTAAAAAAATACTACATAGCTTAGGAGAGAGACTGGAGAACATTATGCTGAGTGAACTAACTCAGTTTCATAAAGACAAATACTGCACAAGGCTGTTATTGTGAAAATAGAAGGATAACTGGTAAAATGTGTATAGAGGTCCAAGGGGGGGATGGAGCAAGAGCAGACGTGTGAGGGTGGGCAGGGCTGCTCAATTTGATGGGTGGAGAGAGGGAGTAAAGTAAATGGGAAAGATCCAGCATGGACTTGAATGTGTAATGGTGTTTATAATTCAATAGGGATTAATTTTCTAAACTACAGTGTATGAGAATGATTGTATAAAACATAATAGGAATGAAGGAAAGTGTGAACCACAATGTATAGGAATTTTGTACGCAAACCAATAAAAAAGAAAAATTTAATGATGATTAATTTTATGAAACAATGTATGGCAATGTATGAAACACAGTGTGAATGAAGAATAATGTGAAACATAATGTATATAAACTTTGTAAGCAAACCATTTTGAAAAATAATGTAAAATATACATAAATAAAAATAAAGAATGTCTGTCTTGTGCATAAGCTTTTTTAAAAAACTATCTTTATTAGATCAAAGTGACAGGAACAAGGCAAAGTACCAGATAGGATCCTTACATGGCAGTAAATTTATGCTAATGAAGGAGGGACAACTCAGAGAAAGAGGGTGAGAATAGTTGCAAACTCAGAATACCTGCAAAATCAGTGTCACTGAAGTGTATATGTAGAAACTGAAAATTGAAAGAGGAGCTCTGGTGGCCTAATCTGAAGGAAGCTGCACAGCGATGCTGAGGGAGAAAGATGAGCAATTTCCTCTCCAATGATTTGGAGCCTCTGAAAGCCCGCTGGAGGGTCAACTACAAGTCATCTCTGACTTGACAGCAATGAGAGAGAGATTCTTAACAACAAAATATGAATTTGAAAAATTAAAAATTGCTAACAATGGTTCTCTTTTAATGGTAGGGCTATTGTTGTTGTGTGCCTTCCCGTTGGAACTCACCCATAGTGGACCCTCTAGAGGGTTTCCAGACAAAGTTAACTGTCATAGGAGATTCTCCCAAGGAGCAAATGCTAGATTCAAACCACATATCTTTGGAATTTCAGTGCAGTTTCTTATAGTTAGGCTACCAGAGCTGCCTGATAGGGCTATTAGTGTTTTTATTTTCTCCTCTGTATCTTTGTGAATGTCCCAAGTTCTCTAGAAAGAGTGCTTGTTACTCATAAAATTGGAGGAGGCATGGATAGAGGAAAGTTGTGGTGTGTGATTGCTTTTCTGAAAGTATAGGAAAGCATGAGATTGGGGTATACTTACCTTCTTTCTTCCATAGTAGAGCAATTTGGTGAATTTCTCCACAACCTGTGCAGGTGTCTCCACACTTGGGGGCATCTCCCCAGTGAGCAGGTTCGGGGTCCCTGAGCTCATCACTGGCCAGTCCTCGTCTGACAGGTTGATGAGATTGGCCACAGGGGGCTGCCTCTCATACTTCTCCAGCTTCTTGCAGTCCTGCATCAGCAGCTCAGCTATGTCAGACCCCACCATGGACTGCAAGGCAAAGAGGGTCACTCTAGTGGGAGAATCCTCTGAGGTCTCTTGTTAGCAGCCTAGGCTGGAGAAGTAAAACACTGTTGTTGTCACATGCCATCAAGTCACCTGTGACTCATTGCAATCCTATGCACAATAGCTCTGAATGCAGTCCTATCCTGAGCCCTCCATTATCCCAGTTACTATGTCAATCCATCTTATCCAAGGTCTTCCCTCTTGTGCTGTCCCTCAACCTTTCCAAGCATGATGTCCTTCTGCAGGGACTGGTCCCTCCTGGCCACATACCTGAAGTATGTGAGACAGAGCTTCAAAATCCTTACCTCTAAGGAGAAACTTGGTTTCACCCTTTCCAGAACAAACCTGTTCTCTTGGCAGTCCATGGAATGTCCAACATTCTTGCCCAGCACCACAACTCAAAGGCACTGACTCTTCATCTGTCATCCTTAGTCATTGTTCAACTCTCTAATGTATAACAAGTAATTGAGAAGACTATGGCCTGGATCAGGCACACCTTAGTCTCCAGATTGACATCGTTGCTTATCATTGCTTTTCAGAACTCTGTAGAGGTCCCTGACAGCATATTTTCCCAATGAAATTAATATTTTTATTTCCTGAGTACTGGTGCCAAGAGTGTTGATTGTGGAAGCAAGCAAGCTGAAATTGTTAACTATCTCAATCTCCTCTTCATCTATCATGATGCTGCCAATTTGTCCAGTGGAGAGAATCATTGTCTTATTGATGTTGAGCTTCGATCCATATTGAAGACTGCTGTCCTTGACCTTCTGCAGCAAATGCTTGAGGTCCTCCTCAGTTTTGCAAGGAAAGTTGTATCATGTACATAAGGTAGATTGTTGATGAGTCTTCCTCCAATCCTGATGCAACATTCCTCCTCATAGAGCCCAGCCTCCCCGATGATCTGTTCTGCATGTAGATTGAAAAGGTATAGGTACAGGACATATCACTGACCCACTCCTTTCCCGATTTTTAATCACATAGTCTTTCCTTGCACTATTCTGAGGATTACTTCCTGGACCTTTTCTTCAATCTCTGTATTTCAAAATTCAGCATCACTATCAAAAGTTATCTTCACTCTGTCAGAAGATATAAAGTTTGCCAGAAATGTCTGCAATATAATAGGTATGTTACCTAGTTTCTGTAATAACCCAGGAACTGAGCAATACTCCTCAGTCAGGGGAAAGGTTCACATTAGCAAACTGGTATCAGCATTTGGGTAATTTTTTTCCTTGAGGCAATTGTCCATTTCTTTAAAAATTGTATTTATAATTATGCCATAAGCCTATTCTTTATTCATCTCAAAAAGTTTTACATTTTAGTCCAGCTATGGTTATTGTTGATATGTGCCATAAATTGGAACCAACTCAGAGCTGATCCTCCAGCTGGGTTTCAGAAGCTGAAAATCACACAGAAAGGGGTAGCTCTTCTTTCTTCCATGGAGCAGCTGATGAATTTGAACCATCTGCTTTTGGATCGGCAGCCCAGCTCCTTACCACTAGGCCACCAGCACTTCCTTAGTCTATGCCTACACCACTCCAAACATGTCCCATCTCACCTACGTCAGCCCCGTCTACACCTGTCTACCCCATCAGAGCAGTAATACTGACCCCATTCTGTCGACAAAGGAGAACCAGCAGCTGCCAAAGTAGGGCTGAGTCCCTGCTCCTCGGTGTTTCTGATTTGCGACTCCGGGCTGCTTTCTGCTGACAAAATGTCATAATATTCACCTTGTGCACATCATCCCTGTGGGAGATTTCAGAGAGAAGAGAGTGAGCAGGCAGGCACTTTCCCGTAGCCTCGTGTGAGGGCCACTGGTCCTGACAACCTCAAGGCTTCAGTGAGAAGTCTATAAAGCAGGACAGGACTGCATAGATTCACTCCTACATCCTTCCATTCTGAGGATGAGGAAACTGAGGCCCAGAGACCTGAAGTGACCACGTGGCAGACAGAGAAGAGAGCAGACTTGGCATCCCACTGCCTTGGGTTTAAATCTGGTTCTGGTATTATTCACTTTAGAGAAGTTACCAACTTCCCCTAAGCCTTCATTCTTTTCTCCCCTAGAATTAATATAATCCAAAAAACTTACTTCCATATGAAAAAGTATTAGAAAATTATAAGTAGGCATTTTAACTTGCTCAAGATCATTCAATAAAATAAAAACTTAAGTTGGAACCAGTACTTTAGTGTTCTAGTACTTGGTCGTCTCAAAACTTTTTGCTGTGGAGTTGGAATCAACTCACAGCTAACTCTCCAGTGGGTTCTCAGAGGCTGTAAATCACATGGGGGAAGATGGTCCACCATCCCCCAGGGAGCAGCTGGTGGATTTGAACTGCTAGAAAGGCACTGCCTTTGAGTTAAGAGCTCAACTCCTTACAGACTAGGCTACCTGAGCTCCCTAATTTGGTGACCTACTCTATATCTAATCTCCAAAATAAATAATGACAACAATTATCTTTTGGTCAAAGGGCTTTCAAAATACTATATGAGGATATTATTGGAGGAGTAGCTTCAGAATAATATTTTACACAATGTTGTTTTTGTTGTCGTTATGTGCTGTCGAGTTGCTTGTGACTCACAGTGACCCTTTGTACAATAGCCCTAAACCCTGTTCTATCCTGTGCCAATCGCACTGTCTCTGACACTCCCATCCCAATTATCCCAGTCACTGAATCAACCCACCTCATAGAGGGCCTTCCCCTCCTGCGCCGTCCCTCCACCCTACCAAGCATGATGTTCCTCTCCAAGGACCGGTCTCTCCTTACAACATGTCCAAAGTATGTTAGACGAAGCCCCAGAATCCTTGCCTCCAAGGAGCCACCTGGTTTAACCCTTTCCAAAATGAATCTGTTTTCCTAGCAGTCCATGGTACTCTCAATACTCTTCTCCAGCAACACAGCTCAAAGGCATCAATTCTTCTTCTGTCCTTCTTGGTCACTGTCTAACTCACTGATGCATAACAAGTGATTGCAAAGATCATGGCCTGTAGCCTGTGAAATTCTCAGCATCTCTGACATGAGAGAGAAAAGGATTCAGGATGATATTTTCTTGCATCTTGATGAGGGTCACGTATAGAACTTTTGATTGTGGTGGTTTTGGGGTTTGTTTTTTGTTGTTGTTTTTGTTGTTGTTGTTGTTGTTGTTGTTTTAATCCACAAGCAGAGGTCAGCTGATATGACTTGCCAGAATTATCTAACATTGAGCTATAGACTGGGGGTCTTGGTTTATAGTGAACCGGCATTTGGTGGGCATGCCTGTATTTTAAAAAGTGGTAGAGCCATTGGGCTTGCGGCTCTCAGGCCTAGTGTTACTTGATTTGGAGATGAACGTTCTTTTAAGACAGCACTGGTCTGTCTATTTGCTGGACTGAAGTAACTTGGAGTTGCTGTAATGCTGAACACTGTGTCACTGGTGTGTCAAATGCCATAAAAGTTACCATCATGGACTTTCAGACAGATTCAGGTTTGTAAATAGAAGTGACTTCTACTTTCTAAACCATAATGCCTCTGGAAACTCTATGAACATAGAGAAATGATAATAGTTATAGAACCAGGTTCTAGATACATCGCTATACGTTGTACTTGACGACACTTAACAACAATAACAATAATGGGTCGGTAGACATTGTAATTAACTAACTGTACTAATAAATTGTAATTAATGTATAAAACAAATGTATATAAGTGATTGAATGAAAAAATTAATGTCATTTGTAGACATTTTTTTTCATGATAAAGAAGCAGTTCTAGCTCAGACCTGAAGAGGGCAGACTTGTACATTGTTCAGCAACTCCAAGGCTTAAATTGACAGTGTTATCTCTCCAGATCAAGACCACAGCTCTAGGAATTTTTTCACTGTAATCTCCTGGTCTGTGATTTCTCAGGCTGTGCTCTGCTTCTCTACTAATATCTACTCATCACATTGAACGCCAGAGTTTTCTGCAAAATGGAACTGATCTTAGATCATTTTTTAAACTTTATGTTAAATTTTCTTCTATTATACAATCACTTGTCACAATGGCTCCGGCCACATTTGACTCCATACTGAAGCACAGAGAATTCTACAAGGAGGCCAAGAACAAATCTCCCAAAATCTGATCTGGGCACAGCAATTTTCTAGCTTCTAAAAGCCCCTTCTTAGAAGCTCTGGTGGGAACACACCTTATCAGGGGTCCTGAGAAAGTTCTCATCTCCTCTTGTTCCTCAGAGTCACCAAGAATAACCTAGAACAACAATAAAATTTTTAAACAAATCAAATTTGATCTTCAATACCACGTCACCCTACTGCCCTTTCAGTCAAGTCCAGTGTCAGAATCCAGGGTCCTGGTTGTAAGATGCGGCCATTACCTTGTAGAGGAAGCACGCTGACCATAAAAAGTCATCTTGTTGCTGAAGATGACCTATTATCACCTTAGGGAAAATGAAACTCCCAGCATGACTGCTTCCCAGAAAGAATTACCCTCAGTTTCTGAACTCCTCAACCTTGGGAATATATGGCCAAGTTTCTCACCAAAGTGCCCCATTCTTGGAGATGCCTGGGAAAGGATATATATTAAGGGAGGTGGAGAGCAGAATACTGGCATTCCAAGGAAACAGAGTCCGGTTTACCTCCATGCTGTGCAGCTCAATAAGCATCATTTGCCCACTCGGGGGAGCCCTGAGGCCCACACACACCAGCTGAGCTCCAGGTCCAAAACTTACAGGCACGTGAGGGACATAGAACTTCATAGGGGCCTTGGGACCAGCTCCAGAGGCATCCTCTGACCAACAAACACAAATGAACACTGTTAGCGTGACTGTCACTACTTCTCTAATTTAGAAACATGTTTCCATCTTAAGTTACACCTAAGACAAAGACAAGATTCCAACATGACTACAGAAAGTTCATACTCCAAGTCAGAGTGAAGGTTCCAAGAATACATTAGAATCTAGAGCAAAAACTTGGTGATTTGGCCTAAACGATAACCCTCAAGATTTCCCCTCTAAACTAAGGTGGGAGATCTGACTCTCGTGGTCCCTATACTGTTAGAGACATTTTCTACACCCAGGTCAGGCAATTGTGGGTCTTGTGTTCTGCCTTTGTTTCACCTAGAAATGATGCCATGCTTGGTAAGGCACAGGGTTAGCACAAGAAAGGAAGATCCTTAATTTGATGGACACAATGGCTAAAAAGTGGACTCAAACAGCAGCTATGGTAAAGACAGAGCAAGATCAGGCAACATTTGGTTCAGTTGTACATCAGGTTGCTATGATTTGGAATTGACTTGAAAGCACTTAACAACTCTAGTTTACATTTTCTTTGTCCATCACTTAAAAGCCCTCCTCCTTGGAGTGCCTCCTCCACAGCTTGATGATGGTTAAGGGGAGTGTTCCCCTCCAAGAATCACTTATGGTGCAATCTCCAGTACAAGGAAAATATGAGAAATGGAGCCACCCCACTGGCCGCTTGGCCAAAGAGACTACAGAAGCAAAAGAGCATGCCATAGTCTGTTCTCGGAAATACAGCCCAAGGGTGATTTTCCAAGGGACTTGCCAGCCAATCCTTTCTTCATTAGGTTTAACCAAATCCTTGCTCACTTAGTACCCACCAGCCTGCGCTGGACTCCAAGCTGCTGCCATCACAGGATCAGAGGCCTCAGTCATGTACTGGCTGAGCTCATAGCTGCTGGAGCTGAGACCAGACTCGTGCTGCTGGAGCAGGTTGGACTCACTGGTCAACGACGACTGAAGGGAAAAAACAAAAAGACAAGGGAAGTGTCAGAAGCTGCGTCGGAGAGCTGGTCCTCACGTGTGGTCTCTTCAAAGACACAAAACTCACAGTTTCAAAAAAATGCGGTGGAAAGCGATGTGTTGAAAGAAGGCATAATTCAACTGGCAAGAATTACACTGAGGAGCGTATTATAGGCTTTTGGAAAGAGTGCATATCCCAGGGTCAAGAGGCCTGAATTCACATCTCAGTTTTGTTACCATCCAGGGCTGTAAACTGAGCTCAATAACTTTATCTGTAACATATATCCTCAAACACGCCCTTTATTGACGTTAACTGCCAACTGAGTGAGTCAGCCCCCAGCTCACGTGATCTGAGGGCCAGCAAATCAAAACACTGCCCGCTCTGCATAACACATCAAAAATGCTGCCCAGTCTTCACGATCAGGTGTAGGTCACCACTGTGATCCAAAGGGATTCTTCATTGGCTGATTTTTGGAAGTAGATCCCAGGCCTTTCTTCCTGGTCTATTTCAGTCTCAAAATGCCACTCACTGAAACCTGTTCAGCCTAATAGCAATGTACGCACTTCCACAGACAGTCGGGGCTGGCTGTGTAAAATGTGCATCAATCAGGAATTAAACCCAAGTGTCCCACATGGAAGGTGAGAATTCCACCATCGAACTACCAACGCCCCTTCACCTGCCCCACACACCTCAAGTATTTACTCATGTGCTCATGAAGCAACCAGTATCTGGGCGTCGACAGTTTCAGGCATTGTGTCTTACCCTAGGGACCATGGTAGGCAAGGAAATACGGTCCCTGTCCTTAGGAACTTGCACTCTAGGTGCCTCCAGGTAAAACAATGGAGGCAAGAGCTCTTTGTACGCTGCAAAGTAGTCTCAACACAACCAAGTTCTGTGTTCCTATTATTATGTTGTTTCTATTCATCACTACAGTATATTCTAGGCACTAGATACGTGGCAGCAACTGCCCTCAAAAAATCTTAACAATGTACTCAAAGGGACAAAATTAATACTATTAATAAACTAATGCAAGTAACAAAGACTACGATCTCACTCATCTCTTTTGCAACTTTGAAACTTTCCAATAAATCTAAAATTTCTCTAAACTGATACCTTTATTAAAAGCATTGTTTTGTAGCCCAGCAGGTACACACATTAAGAACATCAAGGAAGAAGAGAAGAATAAAAAATAGTTTCAAGTTCTGCTTTCTGATCCAAATGAAAAGATTCTAATAACTTCCAACTTCTTTAGTAGAATAAATTGCTAGTCCACTTGGGGTTTCAGAGAAAGACTCAAGCCCCAATTTTTTGGCTGCAGCTTCTTCTCAACTATCTCAAAACCTCAGCTGGAGTCAGAAAATCAAAAGGGTCGAATTCGCTCAGCATTTCTTAAGCTCAAGGAACTGAAGAACAAATTCAAACCTCAAGTTGCTATAATCAAGGATGCTTTTGGCAGAATGTTAAATGATCCAGGAAGTATTAAAAGAAGATGGA